TTCCTGATATCGTCTCAAATTGGCTGCAGGGGCACTATGATGAATTGACACATCTGTGGCTTCAGAGAGATATGTGGTGTGCAGTGGCAGAGAACTTTTCCTTAGAACTCTCCTCATCTCCTGGAAACAGAGAATTCTTCAAATGTCACTGACCTAAAGGACCCTGATCTAAGCAAGCTCACGGGTGCCACCAAAACAGCCTTTACAGCCTGCCCCTTTATTTTCAGTCCCCACTTCTGAATCAGCCTGGTACCATGCCTTCTCCACGCGCATCAGCACCTCTGGTGGATGGTGACATGGGTCTCTGCAGAACCTCTCTATACCTTCTGCCAGCCTAATCAGGAACTGCCATGCATGCTCTGAGGGGACGGACATAAAGAACTGTCCCACAGGAGAGGTGACGGGGCAACCACCTGCAGGGTGAGAGAAAGACAAAATTTACAGGTACCAGACACCCCTCAGCAGAGTTCAGCAAGGGCTAGGAGTGAGACAGACAGAGCAGCCTGTGCCCCAAGGCAACATGGTCCTCTCTTCATAAAGGTTAGAGAAAATCTTGGCATAGTAATGACCAAAGAAAGAGCCCCGCAACTCAGTGCCCCGAGCTCCAGCCAGGTAGAAAGCTCTTATTAGTAAAGCTTCACCTTCCTACCACATAGTGACCCACTTGTGACAGGTGTCCTGAAAATAATAGGACAGATACGTAGAGAAGGGCATGTGACAATCCAGGCAGCGATCAGACTGACACATCTGTCAGCCGAGGAACTCGGAGGCATATTCAGAAGAAGCTAGGAAGACTAAAGGAAAGATTCTCCCATAAACATTTCAAAGACCCTACGGACATCTTGATTTTAAATGTATGAGCCTTAAAACTGTGTGCGCCTGTTTTTCTGCTGTTTTCATTTTATCATAGCAACCATCGGAAACTAACACCACACCTTTCCTTTCTCACTAGGTCCAAATTGACCCCAGCTACTCACAAGTGGCTATTAGGTATCCATTGTATACCAGGCATTCATAAAACAATGAGCAAAGGCCCTGAAACATCTCTACCTTTGAAAGCTGACATACTAGTACAGGAGGAGAGAAAAAAGGAAGTAAAATCCAGTTTGTCAAATGATGACATGTTCTGGAAGGATCCAACAGAGTGAGGTTGGGTAGTGTGATGGTTTGTATATGCTCAGCCCAGGGAGTGGCACTATTTGAAGGTGTGTCCCTGTTGGAGTAGGCGTGGCACCGTGGGTGTGGGCGTTAAGACCCTCATCCTAGCTGCCTGGAAGCCAGTATTCTGCTAGCAGCCTTCAGATGAAGATGTAGAACTCTCAGCTCTGTCTGCATCATGCCTGCCTGGTTGCTGGCATTCTCCCACCTTGATGATAATGGACTGAACCTCTGAACCTGTAAGCCAGCCCCAAATATATGTTGTCCTTTATAAGACTTGCCTTGGTCATGGTGTCTGTTTACAGCAGTAAAACCCTAAGACAGGTAGCCATTTTCAACCTACACAAACCAAGCACTCAAATGGATTTCGTGCCAAACAGCAAACTCAATATTCTAGTGCCTTGATTCTTATAAATACCAGTATATCAAGTAAATGACTATTTGGTGAAGAAAGACACCCCCCACCCTTGAAGTAAAGCCTATTCCTAAGCCAGGAATACCACAGTCCTGACTTGAGGTGTCAGGTACATTCGTGGAACTAATTGTGGCGATGGCTTCAGGGACACAATCTTATTTCAAAGTCTAGTTGTACATACTAAATATACATGATTTTTTTTAAACATCAAGACTCCTGTGAAGGGTTATCTTAAATATTTAATAAGGCTTTACAGAATGCACCAAGTATTACATATAGTTGCTTGTAATACATATTTCCTTCATCACATGGTGTCTTTGAAGGTGGAAATAATACCAACTCCTCTTTCTATTGGAAGAAACAGACTTGGCAAGATGACATTCTGGCTGCTTTTAAACATTAGAGCTGGAGGGGCCAGTGAGAGGGCTCAGCAAGACAGGCACTTGCTGCAACCCCGGCAACCTGAGTTCAATCCCTGGAACCCACATAAAGGCAGAAGGAGAAAACCAGCTCCACAGAGCTGTCCTCTGGCCTCAGCACACAGGCTGTGGCACGCTTAACCTCACATCACCATGCACACATATCCACAGTAACAATAGAGTTATTAAAACTTGGAATCAATGAATAAAATAAAAACAGATGAATGAAATAAAAACAGATGGATAATTTAAAAAAATACTAGAGCTGGAGATCTGACACCAAAACCATGTTCTTCCTCATAAGCGATGCTTCCCAATGGCACATTTTCATTCAATAGTTCCTGTATCTGTATGAGAGGAAGGGGAGGGGGAAAGGGACAGACAGACAGACAGACAGACAGACAGACAGACAGAGACTTAGAGGAATAAGCAAAGGAAGTCTGAGTTTACCTGACCTCTCAGTGGGGAACCTAGAAATTTGTTCATCCCCCTAAAGCCAAGCAGTATGGCTTCCCTTTTGCCTGGGTAAAATAGACGGTGCTAACCCAGCATGGATGCATCCTTGTTGATGGTAGGACAAATAAGCATTGCCTGACTTGGATGTTTTCAGTGAACAGTTGGTGTCACAGCACTTCCTAGTCCCCAGGGAGCCCCTGAGACAGAGTTTTGTCACAGGGAGAGACAGACCTTTGTGTTACAGGACACTAGGGTAAAGAGAAGAGAGACAGAAGTAACAGAGTATCATTTCTGTGTTGAAGCTTCATAATGGGGGCCAGAGAGAGCAGAGTGTGAGGCTATCCCCTCTCTGGAGGCATAGCCCTCCTGTCTCCCTCTCTCCCTGACAGTGAACCCCCTCCAACTGTCAGGAAGAGACAAGAAACAGGCCTTACAGACTGCTTTCTTTAAAGGCTCAGATAGACGCCTTGCCTCATTTATGCCTGAGGCTATCTAATAGACAACAACAACAAAAACAAAACCACCACTTTTTACCTGCACCTTGCCTCCCTTTTTGCCTTAAAGGTTGGGTCTGCTTCCTGCTCAACTCTGCATACAAACATGCAACTATTTAAAGAATGTCTATCTGAAAACGGTCACACAGTGTGTGGGGAGGGGTGTGGGGGGGAAATGTGTGTGTGGGGGGAGGGGGTGATCAGCTCTAAATAAACCCATGACTCTTATTACTCCCCTTCAAGTCTAAAGCACAAGCCAGCTCTGTACAGACATGAGGCCACTGTCCTTCCCCAGCTTGTGGAATTCCCTGTTCCATAGTCCCCAGAGTGGCGACTCAAAATCCCAGTGGCTATGCTGAAACCTTCCAGAAACAGGGAGCTTTACAGGGAGACCAGTCCAGGATGAGTCTCACCCCCTACACAGAAGCAATCATCACCATTCTTTGGAAACTGAGGCCATGCCTCGACAATTTCCCTGGAGCATTAGACCCTGAATAGAGGTGATCATCACCCAGACCACCCTGAGTCTAAATGCGCTTCCATGCACCTCTTGCGCCTGCCCGGACCTTTCCCTGTTCAATCCTGAAGTTAGCAGTATCTTCCCCACAGCAGTCTTTTGCCTTTTCAATATGGCAGATACGGAGGCCTGTCCACTCCACTATCACCGAGATTTCTGCACCATGAAGGGGAAAGTTTATGGTGGAATCAATTCCGTGTCTTAAAAAAAAAATCCTCATTCTTGGAAATCTACATGGGGAGATTAATAAAGCATTTCTTCTGTCACCTTACCTCACTGGAGGACAATTTAGGTTTTTATTTGTATTGTAACCCTATCCTACATGGAACTTTCCGGATCGTCCCCCAACGTCCCCCTCCCACAAAAGTTTCACAGCTTCCTGAGGATTAGGTTACTCCAAGTTCTACTCTCCCTAAAGATACTTCATACAATAAAAACTCTTGTCAGGAGGAGCCTGCAGGTCTCAGCTGCTCAGCTGAGCACCTACGCAGACATCAACCCCAGGACCCTAGTTATAGAAACTGATTTTGAGCCTTATCTCGTACAAGACTAGTGGGTATTTGGAGGTTGTGACACAACTCCAAAAGCCTAGTTGTTTTTTGTTTGGAAGATTTGCCAAAATTAATGTTTGCAGCACTTCTAACTTCAAAACTCTGCCAAAACGTGCCCTTGAACAACAAGCAGCAGTGAGTCCTAGCTTGGCTCCCTTGCCGGTGGCGCTCTGGTGTTTTGTTGTGGACTTTAGCGCCCATGAATAGATTCCTTCCTCTCTTAAAAATGGAATAACTATAAACCACAGACATGGACGAAGAGACCCTTGAAGCCTTGTTCTGTAAGCCTTCACGGTGCAGCGGCGCGAAGTTCTGAGAAGTTTCAGTGGGAGGGGATTGCTGGGACGACTTTCCTGGGAATCTGGAAACTGAGTCCCCACCTTGGTCCCCTAAATGGGAAGCTGCGCAAAGCGAGCCTACTGTCGTTCTCCTGCCTCTAGAGTTCCGGCACGGAAGTCCCACTCAGAGCTCTAACAGAACCTGGCAGGACACTGCCTGGGGCGCCTTCCTAACCACCCCTCTCTCCCTGCTGGCACTGACTGGTCCTGTACGCCTTTGCGCAACTGGGATCCTGGCAGTAATTCCAAGACCCTAACGACACAGCAGACAAGGATGGCTGTAACCTAGACTGGGTTTCCTGAGTCTCAGGTCAGGGGGGACCCTCTGCAGTGTCCTTCCTTTTCTCTGCAGATCTTGGCAGCAAGGCTAATCCTTCCCAGGACTGCGTGGGGAAAAACCGTCCCAAACCCTAGCAGCTCAAATCCTGCGCTGCAAACCGCGGACGGTGCTCGGTGCGTCGGGGGCCGGTACCCGTCCCAGAGTAAGTTCACGCGCAGGGGACCCGGGATTTCCCAGCTCTTAGTTGTGCAGTGCCAATGCATAGGGCCATCCCGGGACATTGACTGATTCCCCAATGGAGGACACTACTACAAATGGGACCTAGTCTCATAGCGAGTAGCAGGGGCGCGCGCAGTAGGGATGCAGGCTTACGTCTGGAGCAGGCGGGGCTCCAAAGCAATCCTTCCAGTTGCCTGGAGCCTGGAACTTGGACTCGGAGAGGAAGAACCCACTGGTCCCCGAGGGGCCCGGTCCGAAGGCTCCACCTGCAGTCTCCCCCGAAACCCCCGCGCAGCCAAGCCGGTTCAGTGCCTGGAGGGCGGTGGTTGAAGGGACTCTGCAGGAGAGGTAGCATTGCCCAGGACAAGAGCAGCGGGCTCTCCGCACCGAGCTGACCCGAACGCTGAAGGAAACCCTGCCCATGACTGCCAGCGTCTCCGACGCCAAGCCACAGGAGTGAAGGACTGTCCGCTTGGGGACTAGAGCAAGCCACTGAGAAGTCTGTGCTCACTGACCTACAGACGGGAAGGAGGTGGCACCCGATGAAGGGAGGAAGGGACAGGGAGAAAAAGGTTGACTCTGAAGTAACCAGGACTCAGGCCACGCGACCTGCGTGCTGGAGGAGCGAGGAGGGTGGATCTTACCCTCTTTGGGGCGTCAGCTCGGCGACTGTGCTCCTCCGGAGCAAGGGCGGGGGGCCGTTTCGTGAACATATCTTTCTCCTCTGTCCACTCTTATCTCGGTCGCTTTTCTCTGCTCTATGGATCTCTAGGAGAGGCACTACGGGTGTCTTTCTCCTCACTTGGAGTGAAGTTATACTCAGGGGATGGGAGCCCCATATTTTGTCGGCTGGGCAGACCCCACCCGCAGACCACTCCCTCCCTTCACTCACATCTCTGGGTCCTACCCATAACCCTTAATGAGATAGTTCCTCCGTACCCACCCCTGCCTTCAAAAATGTTGTTTTTCTATGGCAGAAGGAGAGCAAAGAGTTTACTGCCACCGTCCTTCACACCAGGAATAAAAAAACAAACCAACCCTTAAACTGTGGGACAGCAGCTTTGGCCTTTGCTGCTTTGTTGAGGCCAGAACTTTGCTGGGCAGTGAAAAGGGCTGCCCTCCTTCGAACTCTCATTATCACACCTAGAACAGCCTATGCCCCCAAATAGGATTCTAGCCAGGTAAGTACCAAAATGACTGCCTTCAGGCACTGGCAATCCAACGCCAAGTTTGTTTTGTTCAAAAAGATGTAAGGTTTCAAAGTCAGGCATTATTCGCGTTCCACAAATTGCAAATCTGTCTCAAACTGATTTTTGCAAGACTGCGTTGCTGCTTAAGTTCCACGGGCCAGGAGAACGCCAGTCTGCGATTGTCTGACAAGAATATCCACAGACTAGAAGCAGGGGCCAGCAAATTCGCACCTGTCAGACAGGGAGCCACATTCCTATGGCAGCAAGGAGAGCGATGTAGACATTCCAAAGCAAAGGTTGCATTGCAGGCCAAGACAAATCTTAAATATTTATCGAAAAATGAAAAACAAAAAAAAAAAACCCAAGGATCGCAAAGATTTAAATTTTCTTAGACATGATTTTAAAATGCATTTTAAATCAAAACCTTCAAAACGTCAATAACTGAGGTTTTTACTGAGGTTATACTGTAGAACATCTCCATTAGAGAAAGCCATATATAGTAAGCAGACAATATGACCTGCCCCTTGAGTATCATTGCATGGACAAAGGCACATTTGTACAACTGGAAGGGAGTGGTAATAAGTACTTTGCTTCAGAAAAGATATGCAGTGTGCTACGTGCACTTAAAAACGTGAGACACTGACTTCCAGCATCAGTGAGGAATGCAATTTCTAACAAGCGTTTCACTGCACTAAGCACTCTACACATACCCTCTTTAACTCAGAGATGAGAGGCAGCTGGAGTAACCAGCTTAAGGTCATTTTGGTCGGCAGTGACCCGACATTCCCCAGAGACGGTAGCATTTTGTGACTGGGTTTTTATTGAGACACTGCCTCAGCATGCACCACCACCCACAGGACCCCCATCTGAAAACCCAGAGCCCCGGACATATCTGCCAACTCCACCCCGAGGGCCAGAGTTAAGCAGTCTGTGAATGGAACAGTGAGTGTATGTATACCCATCTTGAAGGCGCAGATGAGTTTCTTTCTTTTCCGAGTTCTGCCCCCTGGTGGAGATGATGTGGGAACTATGAACCTGAAATAGCTAAGTAGATTCTTCATGGTGTTCCTTACTCTTCTATGCTGGGTTCCTAAGGCTGACTGTACTGACAAGGTAAACGCTCCGAAGACTTCCTCCTAATCGCTTCAGCTGCTGTGAGAATCAGAACCAGTATTTGAGGTACTTTTTGCTGCTTGGGGGCACAGTGTAAGAAATGAGGGTGAACATCTATGTTTAGACCTTGCAATTAACTTTAGTACTACAAGAAATCAAACATGTTTTATTTTCAAGTTAATTTAAAACTATGAAGCACACTCACAAGTGGTTTTTAATGATCACTGTGGAATTATTCTCTTTAGAAAAATCACATCACATACTTAAACTTACATTATTAGAGCTGTGGTTGTTAGCTTTGCTAGGCAAGCGCTCTACAACTGGCTCTCCAGCCCCTCAATTTATTAAAAAATTAGTAATCACTGTCCAGTGTCTTTAAATGCTCTTAATTTTACAAAAATTAACATTTCTGGTACCATTCTGAAAGCTTTATTGTCTAGCATTTTGAGCATATATCCAACTAGTCATATAATTTAAAAGAAAAAACACAAACATTAATGAGATTTATGGGGATTACTGACAAAGTACCCATGTGTGTGTTAGTCACAGAAATAATTTGCCTTGCCTTCATCCTATTTGACTGAGTCATATGAATAAATAGAATCCTTCCCTAAAATGAAGGATCTCATACAGCAAAAGGAATGTATAAAGTTCTGCTGTGACATTTTGAGGGATGCTGACCATAGATAAGAATTAGATACCACATATCTCAAAATGTTAAAACAAATGATTCTGATAGGTTTTTTTTTTAAAGAGACTCATGGGAAATTAACTTGAAGAAGTATGTCTCTAGACAGGGTCATCTTTACAGAGTAACATTGGCCATGACATAACTATAGGTCAAATTATCCCTTAGTACTACAAATGAAGGCAATTTGGGGGGGGGGCTTTCTTAGCAAAGAGGTTGGCATCTCAGCATGATGGTGAACAAATGTCACACTACACCACTGCTTATCTACTGGGCGATCTGTTTCATTCATTAAGGGTTTGCTAGCTACCAGAGCTCATGCCTTCAGAGAACTTCATTCCAGTGGAACAACTAAATGAACAATGAAATGAACACACACATTTCAGCTCTTGAAAATATTTGCAAATAATGTTGGAAGGGTATTAAATCATCAGAGTACACTGTCAGGTGATACAAAGACACAAAAGTGGGAGACAAAATTAAATAGGGCAAAAACTCAGGCAAGCTGGAACTTTATCACAGAGGAGGATGAGTTTATGTTAAGAGGGAAAGATGCTAGGAGTGGAGACACACCCTTAATCCCAAAGGCAGAGGCACACTGAGTCTGAGGCCAGCCTGGTCTACGGAGAGCTGCAGACCAGTCAGGGCTGCATAGTAAGACTGTCTCAAAATACACACCTATCATATTCTACCACACAGTCAGGTTGTCAGTGATGATGTGTAGTGCTGTGTGCAGACCTAATATTTCCGAGTCACCATCCTCCAATACACTATGGTCCTCACTTGAGACAAAGACACTAAGACCTGGCCCACAAGGACATCTCAGAAGAATTCTATCTTTAGCACCCTCGTACACTTCATTCTACTCGGGAGCTTCAGGTGCAATCTTACTGCTCAAATGCACTCATCTTTGGCAAGCGTCCTCTTTACTCCTCTAGGGATGATGACCAAACAGCATAAAGTGAAGTGACACTTGGGCACTCAGGTGTCTGTTACAGAGACACTTGCTCAACAATGTTCATTGATGTTTTATTCACAGTAGGCAGCAAGCAGATATATCCTATGTGGAGGAATTTTAATGCAGCAACATGGCTGCTCCGACAAGAGATTATATCCTAAGACCTTCTAGATCTATATGATCCAGCAGCAGAAGGCAGACACGCCCTAGATGAGAGCGTGATCTAGCTGGAATACAGACATGTCCTTAGTACATACCTTTAATTCCTAACAGTAAAAGTAAGGTTGGTTTGTAGAAGGAAGCAGCCATGTTTGAAAGTGACATCTAGTTGAGGGGCTGACAAAGTGACAAATCAGAAAAAGATCTGACAGAATGAGTCAGAGATAGGATACACCCAGCTCGTGAGAATAGTACAGGAAAGAGGGGCTACTTAAGAGCAGAGAGGGAAAAGGGGGAAGGCAGTTTTACTGGGACAGCTTTACAGAGACAGGTTGCAGAGAGAACAAGATAGATGTAAGTGAAGACAGAACAAGGCAGAGAATGAGGAGCTGTAAAATTAGAATATATTACCAAAGTTAGTATGAGGTCAAGCGGAGCAATTCAGACAGAAGCCGAGTGAAGCCAGATTGATTCAGTCATCTTGGAAGATTAAATTGTACGGAGGCTAGACGTGTCTAAGCCTAGGCCTCGGGATAGTTAGAACAGAGAGTTGCCCAGCTTGGGGACAGCTCTCATCTCAACCCTCCATCGGAGGATATAAAAGTGACATTCATAAATTTAGCTGTCCCTCAACAGATGAATGGATAAAGAAAATGTGGTGTATTTCCATAATGAAGTATTTTTCAGGGACCTTGTGAGAACTCACGGAGGGCTGCCTGCTGGTTAGTACAGGCACATTGGGTGTGCCCCTGAGAGGCAGAGTGTCCTGTGGACTTCATGCTGTTATGGAGATTTGCTCTGCTTGTTGCAATCAATGAGCTGTATGAAAATTCTAAGGGGGCTTCCAGCCCCTTACTGGGCAGTGACTGAGCTTTTTCAAGCATTGCTGCTGGAGCAGATTAATGATTCAACCATCACTCTCAGAACAAATTTAGAAATGTAAGTTGTTAGTGTTGTTGGGCTTAAATGTTCTTGTTAGTGGCTTTGATGTAGAAAATCTTGAACAATTTAAAGTTCAGGAAGGCACAATCTGGAGAGTTGAGTGAGGGATATTTTTAAGTCAGGGTACAAGAACCACAGAAGTTAGGTATGGAGTAAGAAACTAGGAGGGACAAATCACCCTCGGAAAGAAAAATAGTTATGGTTGGATGGAGGTGGGGGCTGGAATGAGAGGATCAAGTGGGGAAGAGAAGAGGCAAGGGAATGGGCGGGGGGGAATCTGGGGAGAGATAGCTAAAATTAGGGCAATTTAAGAAGTAAATGGAAGCCTGACATAGTAGAAGTTTTCTAAAACGTAAAGATATATGAGGGTAATCTAAACACAATCTCCAAAAAATGGAGACAGAGACCCAACTGGCCATCTCCTGTC